GCTGGCCGAATAATTCAAAGGTTGGTATTAATAATTTTAATTCACGCAATCACTTGCTTTAGTGTGAAAATAAGTACATCTTATGTTCCACACTAAAACCCTACACTACGTTGAAGAATTTGCAGATTTTGTACATTTTTAACCACAGCAACAACACAGAATTCATGGTGTATTCTCAGGAGAATTTAATACATTTAAGAAGAAGATGCAATTTCTATCCAATTTGGGAAAGAGAAAGGTAGAAAGCCATTTTTCCAAATTGACACATTAAATGCAACATTGGTGAAATTTTATAGATTATAATCTGACAACATGTTCCTGAAAAGACCACTTTTACTCACCAGTGCATATATACACAAGATGCATTTGAATGTAAACAGAGCTGCTGGAATTTGAATGTGTTTTTGTCCACACATGCAACCTGATGAAAGTGCAGCATGGCCTCACTAAAGCAGCTCGATCAATGAATCCCTTATCTTTATGAAAGTGCAACACTCAAGTAGTGGAGTGCTCCTTTAAAATTACAGTAAAAAATAAAATAAAAAATTTAACAATACGGGGGGAATCAGCAACAACACAACAGCGACGAGTGTCTCACCTCTTCATTCTCCTCGTCAAAATAGGTCAGCTGGAGGCTGCATAGGCCAAAGGAACGCTTCACCTGCAAAAATCATAGACACAAAGGTATGTAGTGACACACAGAGGGTGATAGGTCAGCTGTTCTTTCCAGACAAGAGACAGAGAGAAAAAAATTAGACTTTAGTCATTTGAATTAGCATGAACTTAGTTACTGAGACTAAGATGTGTATGTACAGTGTATAAAAAGATGCAAAACCTTTTTTTTTTCTCACTGTCTGACATTAAATCAGACTAAACTTTTCCTGCTTTAAGTCAGTTAGGATTACCAAAATTATTTTAATTTGCTAAATGCCAGAATAATGACTAAGAGAATTTTTTAGAGATTTTTTTGTCACTTTCTTCAACGACTACTATACCTTCAAACTATTTGGGAAAGCCAAGATGATGATGGAAGCTTTTGATACGTTGATTGACAACATTTGAGTTAATTGGAGGCACACCTGTGGATGTATTTTAAGGCATACCCCAAACACACTGCTTCCTTTTGTTACAAGGGAAAATCTCTAAAGAAATTAGCCAAGACATCAGGAACAGAAATGTGGACCTCCACAAGTCTGGTTCATCCTTGGATACAATTCCCAGAGACAATTGTGCACAAGTATTAACACTGTGGGAATGTTCAGCCATCATGGAAGGAGCTGGGTTCTGTGCCCCAGAGATGAAGTGTTTTGGTGCGAAATGTGTGCATCAACCCCAGAACAAAAGCAAAAGATCTTGTGAAGATGCTGCTGAAGCTGGTAAGAAAGTATCTATCTACAGTGAAACCAGTCCTGTACGGACGTGGACTGAAAAGCTACTCAGAGAGGAAGAGGACATTACTCCAAAAGCGACATAAAAAAGCCAGATTACAGTTTGCAAATGCACACAGGGACACAGACCTTAGTTTTTGGAGACATGTCCTGTGGTCTGATGAAAGTAAAATTGAACTGTTTGGCCTTAATGACCATTGTAACATTCTGTGGAAAAAGGGGGGGAGCTTGCAAGCCTGAGAACAACATCCCAACTGTGAAGTGCAGGGTTAGTAGCATTATGTTGTGGGGGTGTTTTGCTGCAGGAGGGACTGGTGCACTTCACAAAATAGATGGCATCATGAGGAAAGAACATTATGTGGAAAAATTGAAGCAACATCTCAAGACATCAGCCAGGAAGTTAAAGCTTGGGCGTAAATGGGTCTTCAAAATGGACAATAGTGGCTTAAGGACAACAAAGTGAATGTTTTGGAGTGGCCATCACAAAGCCCTGATCTCAATCCCGTAGAAAATTTGTTGGCAGAGCTGAAAAGGCGCACGTGCAACTAAGGCGGCCTACAAACCTGACTCAGCTCCACAAATTCTGTCAGGAGGAATGGGCCAGAATTTCAACAAACTATTGTGAGAACCTTGTGGAAGGATACCCAAAACATTTGACCCAAGTCATAAAGTTTAAAGGCAATGCTACCAAATACTAAGGAAATGTATGTAAACCTCTGACTTTGAAGGAAGTAATAAAAAATTCTTAGTCATTATTCTGGCATTTAGCAAATAGAAATAATTTTGGTAATCCTAACTGACCTAAAACGGGAAAAGTTTAGTCATATTTAATGTCAGATAGTGAGAAAAAAAAACTTTCTGTGTCTTTTTATACAGTGTCTGTAAACTTCTGGTTTCAACTGTACTCTAAGACAAACAAAGTATTGTTCAGCTAGCTCCAATCACACTCCAACTTGCTTCCTATTGAAGGAAAGCCAGCTGCTGTGCTCCTCTGTGGCTCTCTGTTACTTCATTATGTATTCAACACAAACTGATATGAGCTCATAGTGTATGTATTATTTAGCAACTCGGACCAAATGAAAAACAGTTGACACTAAACCTTGTGCTGACTTGCATCCCTCCCAACAACAAAACAACAGCTAGGAGCAAAGTCTGGCATCTGTGACTCAGCAGCACTCGAACAAATGACCTCCTCCAGGCTGCCTGGTTGAGAGAGATGGACCATAAATCTAACTGTACAGGGTTTCAAATTTTTCAGGGTTTTTTGACACAAGGCATTTCAAGTCCTAATTTAAAAACAGGTATTCTGGGCAGATCTCCAGACTAAAACATCCAACTCTCAGGGTGCCAGATTTGTTGTTGTAATGTGTTTTATCCTAAATATGTTCCTTTACCATGAGATATATTTATGATAACTTTAAGAAAAGAGACATATGAGCAGTGCAGTAGCATTTATTGTGGAGCAAAGTGTAAAACTCAGATCAAACATAGAGGTATTTTACTGTCGATTCCTTACCATTTGAGAAAAAAATTTAAATGCAGATACATTATTTATCAGTAGCCCATTTCTCTTCTGGAGAAACCAGGTTGGCATGCTCTTAATGCTGACAGCTGGAGGGAAAAGTAGCTGCTCTTTAGCTAATGCAGTCCTTCCACAGCTGTTGTACAGTGTACGGCTTATAGTTTTTTGAGACCACTATAAACGTTGTGTTGCAAAAGTATATAACATTTTGTGTCGTTTAAAAAAAAACAAAAAACAGCTGGTTCTTCTGTTTCATCCTTCCTTCCTGTTTCACCGGCCTGCTCCCATTTTCTTGTTTCTTAGCAGCTATGGTTACAGCGCTGTTAGATTAGTTTGGAACAGAGTAGGACTTAAGAGTAGAGACGTCACAAAACCATGAAGTAGTACAAATAGTCAGTACAAATACAATTAAAGTTTTGCAATTTACCGCTATAACAAATTCAGCACAATACTAAATTGACTCACAAAATATATTTCTATACAAAGTCCTATTTTTATTTTTAAAAAATCATAGAAAACCCTGCCACATAGACATACAACATTATAAGTTGATAGACTGTCCCGTTATGATGGCAGCTACAAACAATGTGAGCAGCACACATTAAAAAGGACTAGATACTCGATTACAAGCGGGCACCTAATCCATTCCACTAAAATTCAAATGACTCCATTCCTCCTCAAAAGAGTTTCCAAAGCTTCCTCCATGATGAACCAAGATGCTCTGCACACTTCCTCAAATTTGGGCCCAAAAAATGATCTGCATTCCTGCCCTTCTTCGAGAGAACATACACGACCAAGATTCCACTGCCTGACACATGAATATGGTTGAATAATATTCATATATCTCTTTAAGATTTTCCAAACGAATAAAGAGTCATTTTGCTGGTTTGGAACAGTGTGAAAAATGCTAGCATTTTACAGCCATTCCTTTTCCAATGATTGTGTGGAGAAAAAAATGCTTTCTGGGTGAGTGCAAATCATGTGATGAATGCAGAATTTGTTGTAACATGGTTTGGATAGGTGCAAGGTGGCACAGTTGGTAGCACTGTTGCCTTGCAGCAAGACGGTTGCCAGTTCACATCCCAGTGGGGGCACCGGGATCTTTCTTTTATAGAAGAAATTAAGACACTGAATGCAGCGAGGGCTCAAGTAAGGATCTACGACCAAGCTGAAGATTTCATTGAAGAAAGTTCTTCTCAGTTTGATGTTAAACCGTTTAGACAACCTCCAACACTCTATCCAACCATTCTAAGTTACTCCTGCTCCTTCTGCCAGCTACTACTGCAGTGTTTTCAGGAGATTCTCTAAAATGTAAAGACTGGAGATTATCATTTGAAACCTTGATAGACAGAAAGAACATTCCTAAAAAATGAAAAACTGTACTACCTAAAAGTATTTAGGTGATGCTGCAAAGAAAGCAGTTGAAAGTTCCTTCCTCCTTGGCACTGAAGACACTTATGACACAGCCTGACAGCTATTAGAAAAATGCTTGGGAGACCCAATTGTTATCGGGAAGTACTTCAGAGAAAAGCTGCATGGGTGGCCAAAGCAAAGTTCCAAAGACGGTTGTGAACGACGAGACTTTGCAGATTTTATTCAGAGTTGTGAAGCTGCAATTCTCAACATTATGTCACTGGAAGTTCTCAACGACTGCAACGAAAGTCAAAAAATTCAGATGGCTGGTGGCGGCATGTATTCGGATCTCAAAATTGATATCCAGATACCACCACAGCAACTGAACATTCGGATATTTAGATGTTCGGGTTCAGCCTACTAGTTTAGTGCAGAAAGTTCACTGAAAAGACAGTTCAGTGTGTCAAGTTTGTGCAAGAAGGGAAGCTTTGCTTTGGATGTTTAAAGACAGGTCATCGTTCAAGAAGATGTGACAACAGAAGCACATGCGAAAGATATCAGAAATGACAACCAACATGCTTGCATGATGAAAGGTTCAAAGAAAATCAAATGGTAATGACTCAAAGGGGAGACAATGACTCAAAGGATAAACCAAGCACCAAAGATTCTGCCACAACAGCAACCGCAAACAGAGTCTTGCAAGAAGGCTGTAGCGCACAAACATCTGCCATCGTAAGTGTCTGGATCTCACCTATAAAACAACCACAAGCGACAGAACCTTTATCTTGGATGATGTAGCCCAAGATCTCACCACAAGCACAGAAGATGCTCATTGACAGCTTTCTACAATGTCTGCAAAAGCAACTGTCATACAGAAACTGACCAAACCAGTAAGTTAAACCTCAAAGTAAGAGGCTACAATTTAGACAAAAGGATCAAACTAGCACCACTTTTCACACAAGAGTTCATTCCAGTAGGTAGGTCGCACATCCCTACTTCTGAAACTGCTCTAAAGTGGCCTCATCTTGAACAACATTCTGCTGCCACTTCATTGTGAAGTAGGACTCCTCATAGGCGATAATTGCCAACAAGTCCTTCTTCCAAAAGAAATTCTGTCTGGTGAAAAAAATCAGCCATATGCACAGTTAACAGATCTTGGTTGGAGCATTGTTGACTGCTCATATCTATCAAGTAACTGTAGTGATGCAATAGGAACCAACCACAGAATCATAGTGCAATAAGTGACACCTGCTGCACAACCAGCAATTAAGCTGAAGAAAGTACACTTCTTGTGTAAAACCCAGGTCAAAGAGATCAGTTCAATAGACATCATAAGAGCTCTTGAATCAGACTTTACAGATCACAAAGCTGCAATAACCCAGTTTCACAAGAAGACTT